CACTTGAGCCTAGGAGTTGGAGGTTGCTGTGAGCTGTAATGCCACAGCACTCTACCCAGGGGGACAGCTTGAGGCTCTGTCTCAAAATAAATAAATAAATAAATAAAATAAAATAAAATAAATTCCTACCAATTAAATACATGGTCGGACAGACGGAGTGTTTTTTGAGATGTTTTATGTGTAGTGACAGCCTTCCTGTGGCAAGGTCACCTGCCCTACATACTTAGCTGTGTGCACTAGGGCCTTTCTCACCCCATGTGGTCAAAACTGAATTTTATCTTCACAGAGGGAAAGGTGAAGTATTTATTTCCCTTTACTAATTTTGATTATGTTCTTTTTTTTTGAACAAGCTTTCTTTAAATTTTGCCTTGGAGGCTTGGAGGGAATGTTATGGTGACAATTGTCAAGTAGTCAAGGTTTTCTCTTTTGCTTGTGTCCCTGCAGGAATACCTCAATAGCATTCTCCAGCATGCCAAGGATTTCAAAGAATATCACCGATCAGTCACAGGAAAAATCCAGAAGCTCACCAAGGCTGTGGCCACATATCACGCTAACACAGAGCGGGAACAGAAGAAAGAAAATGAAAGAATTGAGAAGGAGAGAATGCGGAGGCTTATGGTAAGGTTTTAGCTTCTTGATTTTGGTGACTTCACATGTACACTGAGTGTGGCAGGTACCAGGTGTTGGTTGCCCAGGATTACATTGGAACCTTTTGTCCCTCAGAGTTAAAGGTGAGGTAGGGAAAAGAACAGGCTGTGGTTGGGAGTCAAGAGTTCTGGACTTAGATCTTTGGTCCCTGTGACCATCAGAGTGGCACCAAGTAGCTAGATGGCTGCTCTGTCTTCTCCTCTGGGAAGTGAAAATGGTGTCCCCTCCCCAGGCTACCGTGAGAGCCACAGATGGTGGAATCCAGACTCCCTACTTTGCACCTGCAGAATAAATGTTCTGATCTTTTGTTCATGACTGAGTCACAGATTGGGCAGATAGGGGCAGCTTACTCTGTCCCAGGCTCTGCTGTGTGTACAGGGGACATACCTGGGAGCGGGACACAATCCTTGCCCTCATGGAGCTAGTGCTTATACTGGAGGGATGGATACTCAAGTGAAACAAGTCAGGTTTGGATGGTAAAAAGTGCAGTGAAGAGACTGAGACTGGTTGCAGGAAAGGATGGGGTGGTACAAGAAGGCCTTGGGACAGAGGAACAAAGGAAGAGTATGATCCATGAATGCAGATATGGGAGGAGCCCCAAGAAGTCAACAAAGTGCAAGACATAGCAAGTGGCCTCTGATCCTGAGAACATCATGATAGGGGTAGTAGGTGAGGCCTGAGAGCTGGCAAAGGCAGGTCACATGGGCCCTTGTGGGGCTGTCAGGAAAGGTGGGTTTAACTCTGAGCTTTTGGGGGCATTCCATTGGGTGGTGTTGTGATCTGATTTATTTTTAGAGAGGTGGGAGGGGGTTCCTGTAGGAGTTTGTGGGAGTGATAAGGCTCAGGCCAGGTAGGGAGAAGTGTTTTGATTTGGTGTGCGTTTGGTGGACAGAGAGGACAGGACTCACTTGTGGCCTCTGGAAATGGCTCTTGGTAGGCCTGGGTCTGCCTACCAGGTGTCTTTGGAGTGTAGTATTTGGTGATAGTTAATAAGGGCTGGTAGTGCAGTGCCCGCATAAGGTAAGTACTCCTTAAATGCGCCTCTGGTTGAGGGATAACAGCAGCCACAGTGGGGCCCTGCCCTGGGCTTGCCTGTCTCAGGTGCTAACTCATGTGCACATCTCATGAACAAACGGTGTAACGTGCATGCTCCTGTAGGCTGAAGACGAGGAGGGCTACCGCAAGCTCATTGATCAGAAGAAGGACAAGCGCCTGGCCTACCTCTTGCAGCAGACAGACGAGTATGTGGCTAACCTCACTGAGTTGGTGCGGCAGCACAAGGCCGCCCAGGTTGCCAAGGAAAAGAAGAAGAAAAAGAAAAAGAAGGTGAGCCAGGAGGGCTGGGAGTGGCTATCTTTGTATGGGCAGCCCTCCACCTGCTAGGTCAGGGCCTGATTCTGTCTCCCTTTACTTACAGAAGGCAGAAAATGCAGAAGGACAGACACCTGCCATTGGGCCTGATGGTGAGGTAAGGAAGCAGGTTTCTTTTTTTTTGTAGTTTTTGGCTGGTGGTTTGAACCCACCACCTCTGTATATGGCGCTGGTGCCCTACTCCTTGAGCTACAGGTGCCACCTGGAAGCAGGTTTCTCATGGAAGTGCAAACCCAGCCCCTTGGCTTGGGTCTGCACCATGTTTTAAGCTTTTTTTGAAATTCCAAATACTGTGCGTGATGAGGGTGAGAATCCCAGCACATCCCATCCTACCCCTTCCGTCCTGCATATCAAGTGTGTCTCCTTTCAGACCTTTTTCTCTGCATGCGTGGCACTATTTTTTTTTCTTTTCTTTTTTTCTTTTTAGACTAGTCAAGTTCAGTAGTGAGGAGAACAAGGAGCTCAATCTGTAACTGACTATGAACAATCAGGTGCTGCACTACTTAAATTTAAGTTTTTACTTTATCTTAATTTCAGATTTATAGGACAGGTGCAAGAAAGTCTGCCGGGGTGTCCAACCTGTGGCCCATGGGCCACGTGCAGATTACTTAAGGCCCGTTGTTTTGCTTATCTGTGGCATCATGTATCATGAAAAGTATGCATGGACCTGTTTTTTTGCTCATAAGCTTTCACTACTGTTTGTGTATTTAATATATGGCCCAAGACAACTTATTCCAGTGTGCAACAGAGGAAAAGATTGTACTACTATTTTTTTTTTTTTTTTTGAGACAGAGTCTCACTTTGTTGCCCTCAGTAGAGTGCTGTGACGTACCAGCTCACAGCAACCTCCAGCTCTTGGGCTTAAGCCATTCTCTTGCCTCAGCTTCCCGAGTAGCTGGGACTACAGGCACCCACCACAACGCCCAGCTATTTTTTTTT